TTGTTTTAAAGGATTTTGATGGCTCAGGCGCAGCCAGAGCTTTGCAGGAAAGGGCTAGAGGCCCCAACAGCACATAAAATGCTGTAGAGACAGCTATGGCCTTAACTTTATAAACAAAACTTGCCCTAGTAGTATTGGAGCCTTATGATTCTTGGTAATGTGGGGGAGGGAAACTTTTTTTTCTAGACTCTTCTGATGGGGTGGGGGTGGGGGTATTTCTAACAGTTTTGTTATTTAATTGTTAATTCTCACCTGAGGATATTTTTTCTATTTTTAGAGAGAGTGGAAGGAAGGAAGAAGGGAGAAAGGGGAGTGGGGGGGGGGAAAGAGAAACAAATGTGAGAGACCCATCAACTGGTTAACAGATGAACACGAGAAAATGACCAAATTTAACTACATGGGTGCAAATGAGAACCCCACATGCACAAGAGTCAGAGACCCACAGACAGAGGAGGTTTTGGACAGAAAGGGAAAAAGGAGTATGTGTGACACTCAGCTCGGGCTTCAGGGGAGGAAGGTCATTGCAAGATGATAAGAAGGGTGGATGTTCGGTAATTAGAGATTTGCCTTGCCCTGTAGGTAGGTCATAAAACATTATTTCTGATAACTCTTATTACGGGCAAGTCCCCTAATTAAAATTCTTTAAGGGAGAGGGAAAAGATTCTCATGAACTGCAAGGTCTCGGTTGCCTTCCGCTCAAAATAATTCCCACACGCAAGTGGCATAGCGTGGGGAGACCTGTTCTGAACCCCTCGTCCTGCCTTTTAGACTTCTGAGAACTCTCACCGTCCAGAAGTTGGGTTGAGTGTATAAAAATTTTTATACAAGCCCTTGTTGGTTTAATAAGTTCATGAAAGAAACTGCTTTAATGTAGCTTAGAATCTTCTCTAGTAATCTAGCCGAAACCGGTTTGGCTCAGTGGATAGAGCGTTGGCCTGCAGACTGAAAGGTCCCGGGTTCGATTCCAGTCAAGGGCATGTACCTTGGTTGCGGGCACATCCCCAGTAGGGGGTGTGCAGGAGGCAGCTGATCGATGATTCTCTCTCATCGATGTTTCTAACTCTCTATCCCTCTCTCTCTCTGTAAAAAATCAATAAAATATGTTTTTTTTTAAATCTTCTCTAGTAATCTAAATACGATTGTTAATAACTAATAAATAGATGTCAATAAATAAAAAGTATTTAGTGAACCACTAGCAATAAATATATATTTTTAATAGTTTCCCAAAATCTTTTGGTAATTTGAAACCTTAGAGTTTTGCTAAGTTGTGTATGGTGAAAATTATTCAATATCTAAATCATTTTATTTTTAAAAATATGTTTTTTATTGATTTCAGAGATGAAGGGAGAGGGAAAGAGAAATAGAAACATCAATGACGAGAGAGAATCATTGATTGGCTACCTCCTGCACACCTCCAGTACTGGGAGATAGAGCCCAAAACCTGGGCATGTGGCATTGACTGGAATCAAACCTGGGACCCTTCAGTCTGCAGGCTGACAAGCTATCCACTGAGCCAAACCGGCTAGGGCATCTAGATCATTTTCAAATAAGATAAAATACTAAAGCATTAATTACTAAATAAGCATAAGTTTACCTACTTCTGGTTTGTTATCATAGAGAAACTGAAAGATAAAATCAGATTTGTTTATAAATATGGCTTGTGTTTGTTGAGGAAGCATATATCTCTAATTATTATGAGATATGTTTATTTGTCAGTAAAATAAACTGTTTGTTGAGGTTATGAAATGTATTCATAATTTGCCAATCTAAAGACAGCTAATTGCTTGCTTTTTAGTTTTTATTAGGAATTAAAAATTTTAAGGAATAAAATTCAATATATATAGGGTGTCCCCAAGAATGTATACACAATGCTCTTAATAATTATAAAGTTAGTGTTTATTAAAATACATTTCAGAGGATCAAAGATGGCTGCGCCCAGGTAACACCTAGCCACAGCTGCACACAACAATTTCAATAAAATACAACTAAAATATAAAATGGACATCACCCAGAACTACAGGAAAGTCGACTGACTGGAAATTCTACAATGAGAAGCAAGGAGAAAACCAGAAGGAAGCACGGAGGAGCTGGAAAAGCCCAAGGTACGGAGACACGCGGCGCGCGCGTGTGCATGCGCGCGGAGAGAACGGAGCCGGAGAGGAGGGAGGCCGAGTGCCTGGCTGGTGTTCCCTAGCAGGAAGGAGATAAAACTCCGACCATGCTGAGTCCCAGTTCTGACTGCTCTGAACCCCAGTTCTAGGCCAGACCCCAGGGACCCAGGCTCATCCATAGGGAGCTGGGCTGTAAGGTGGAACCCCGGGGGACGGCGAAAGGAGATCCGGAGGCACGCACACTGCGTGCAGAGAAGGAATGCTCGGCTGTGCCACGGGATTGCCCTGGTGGGAAGGAAACAGGGGCTCTAGTCTGCTCTGAACGCCACCTCCAACTCCACTTCCAACTGAATTGAACCCCAATACCAGGCTCATTGGGGGAGAGCATAGACTGTTTGGCAGCAGGCGAAAATCAGGGCACCCATCTCTCAGAGGCGCAGGCAGCGAGTACTGAAGGACCCTGAGAGGCAGGAGCCGCATAGGGCGGGGCTGACGGAAGCCAAGGCTGTAGGCTCCACCCTGAAATCCCATCCCATCTGTAACTACGAAATGCGACAACGAAATAGATCACAAACGAAAGAAATGGAGGACAAAAAGCAACTGGATATAGAGTTCAAATCTACGCTTATAAGGTTTTTCAAGAATTTCCTAGAAAAGATCGATAAGACCTATGAGGATATGAAAAGAGATCAACTAGAATTAATAAGGAGTCAACAAGAAATGATAAGGGATCAACAAGAAATAAAGAATACATTGTCTGAAATAAAAAATATTATACAGAGTCCTAAAAACAGAATGGAAGATTGCAAGAATCAAGTCAAAGATTTGGAACATAAAGAACCAGAAGAACTCCTCCACAGAAGCTAGAAGGCAAGAGAAGCCAGAAAATTGAAGATAATATAAGAAACCTCTGGGAAAACTTTAAGCGAACCAACATCAGAATTATGGGGGTCCCAGAAGATGAGAGAGAGCAAGATATTGAAAACATACTGAAAGAAATAGTGACAGAAAACTTCCCCCACCTGGTGAAAGAATTAGACTTACAAGTCCAGGAAGCGCACAGAACTCCAAACAAAAGGAATCCAAAGAGGACCACACCAAGACACATCATAATTAAAATTCCAAGAGTAAAAGACAAAGAGAGAATATTAAAAGCAGCAAGAGCAAAGCAGGTAGTTACCTATAAAGAAGCACCTATACGATTGTCAGCTGATTTCTCAATAGAAACCATGCAGGCCAGAAGGGAATGGCAAGAAATATTCAAGGTGATGAATAGTAAGAACCTACAGCCAAAGATAATCTATCCAGCAAAGCTATCACTCAGAATCGAAGGTCAGATAAAGAGCTTCACTAATAAAAAAAAGCTAAAGGAGTTCATCAACACCAAACCAGAATTATATGAATTGCTGAAGGGGGTTCTTTCAGAAGAGAAAGTAAATAAAGATAAAAATTATGAACAACAAATACGTAACTGTCAACAAGTGAATCTAAAAACCAAGGAAATTTAAAAAATCTGATGAACAATATTAACTATTGAATATAATAGAATCAGAGGTATGGAAGGGGAGTGAACTGACGATTCTTGAGGAAAAGAGGAGAGGAGGATGTGGGAAGAGACTGAACATAAACTGTGCACCTATGGTGAGGACAATGGGGAGTGGGGAAAGGGCAGAGGGTGGGGTGGGAACCTGGTGGAGGAGAGCAATGGTGGTGTGGGGGGAAGGAACATTTGTAATAATATGAACAATAAAACTTATTAAAAAATAAAAAAATAAAAAATACATTTCATTTTCAAAATTTAGCTATCAGCTGTTATAGTGTGTATACATTTTGGGGGGGACACCCTATATATAATTAAAAGTACTAGGAATAGCCCAGTTGGTGTTGCTCAGTGGTTGAGCATCAATCTATGAATAGGAGGACCCGGTTCAATTCCCAGTCAGGACACATGACCCAGCTGTAGGCTCCATCCCCAGTAGGGGGTGTGCAGGAGCCAGCCTATCAATGATTCTCTCTCATCATTGATGTTTCTATCTCTCTTTCCCTCTCCCTTCCTCTTTCTGAAATAAACAAAAACATATTTTTTTCATTCAGTCTTAGAAATTGAGAATATTAAAGACAAATGTGCTTTGAACTTTTTCTAAAGCTACATTTATGGTTTTACAAAAATATGTAAGATAAAGGCAATAGCTCATTTCCTCCAAAAAAAACTGGGTAACCTAAATGGCATCATAAGTTGACCTACCTGTCCAACTACATCACCTCTAACTTGCTTCTTTCCTTCTGGTTACATAGTTTTAATGTAAATTAGAGGAGGAGGTCCCTATCAGGCTATGAATCTCAGCTTCCAATTTGGCCCAATTTATGGTCATTGCCACACAGCCCTTTCACGTGTCTTGTCGGACTTCAGCCAGGACGAACGGTACATATTTCTGGCAGTATTGTACAAGTTGAGGGCGCAGAGGTGGTTGCCTCCCAGAGTCATTTCCTGTGATACCCCAAGGAAAGAACTGACGGGTGGCTTGTCTCAGGCCAGCAGTCAGCCACACCAAACCCTCAGGACCCAAGCAGCAGCCATCTCCCGGAGGAAAGTGAAAATAAGAACCAAGTGCACTCAGACCAGATAATGAACAGTTACTGTGCCCAGAGAACGAGGCCCACAAACACTTCTCCTCGTCTACATGTAGAAAAGACGCCTCCCCGCTCTGCCTCCCCTGCACGCTGCAGGTAGACACCCAAGAGTCTGACGTGGCAAGAAGGCTGATGGTTTTTCCAGCTCTTGTCAGCGGTCCCTGGACCTTCCTTCTGCGGCTTCAGGGTGAGCAGTGCCCGCTGGTGAGGTGTCCTGCGCACAGTGAGAAGGTGTGACCCAGATACTCTCCAGACGAACAAGAACGAGTCATCTCGATGGCAAAGTATTGAAAAGGGCTCTTGTGAGTTTTCTTTCTTTCTTTCTTTCTTTCTTTCTTTTTTTTTTTTTTTTTAACAATTTCTTTTTAAAAAAATATATATATTTTATTGATCTTTCATAGAGAGGAAAGGAGAGGGATAGAGAGCTAGAAACATCGATGAGAGAGAAACATCCATCAGCCGCCCCCTGCACACCCCCTCCTGGGGATGTGCCCGCAACCAAGGTACATGCCCTTGACCGGAACCGAACCCGGAACCCTTCAGTCCACAGGCCAACGCTCTCTCCACTGACCCAAACCGGTTTGGGCAAGTTTTCCTCCTTTTCTTTCTAACTTCCCTCCTAATTCAAGACTAAGATGCTGACATGTCTTGAGTGACAAGAGCTGTCAGTCGTAGGCCCCCAGTAAAAACCTTAAAAAACACACTTCCCATGTGTCTGCCCCTTCAAGGCAAAGACAAACAAACAGAGGTTAGGAATGTTCCCATGGACACCTGACCTTGCGGGTGACAATGTGTTTGACGATACACCCCCTCATACCTACACATGGAAATAACTTGGAAGCAGAAACTGTATTATAAAATTTAGATATGATTTATATACCATAAAATTCACCCTTTTAAAGTGCACAGGTCAATGTCCTTTAGAATGTTTGAAGTTGTGTGGCCATCAATAATTCTAGAACAATCTATTTCTAAAACCTGTAGAGTTTTAAAATGTAGGGCTACCTTGTGTTCTGAGTCCATTGATGAAGCAAACATGTGGCACCTCCCCACTGGTGGGTCAGATCCACTGACGGACAAAGGGAAGACAGACAGCTGCTGGGTTCTAACACAGCCCTTTGCACACCCTGTGCACGGAGTTCCCGGTGATGAGGCGCTCAGTGAGCCCAGCGGACGATGCCCTCTCCCATCTCGCTCCCATGCTTGTGACAGCCACCAAAGCCCAGGATTGGACTCAACCGCCCTGACACCCAGGCCTTCAGGCGATGTGAGTGTTAGTCAGGATGGCAGTGAATGAGGAAGCATGCTCTCATCTTAGTATTCCCAGTCAGAGCCAAGTGGTTTTCTGCACCTTTGTCAATGGATAAATAAATGTGTAATTCTGTTAACGTGCATTGGGAAATAGGGTTGATTTCACCTTTCTGGGCTTCTTTTAAATGTTCCCTTTGGGTGGGTTAGACACTCAGTGAGTGTAGCTGTACTGGAGTGGGTTCACCCAGAATGTTGGCCCTGGGATGGAGGTCAGACAGGTTTGTGTCCGCATCTCCCCTGGGGTTTCCCATCTCCTGCTTCTGTCCCGCCCCCTCCAACAAAACAGAATCTAGTCTTCTCCCCACCGTCAGTCCGAGAGAGTCAGGGCTGTGATGCCAGTGCTCAAAGCCTCCGCTCACAAACCAGCCTGTGGGGCAGTTCTGAGCTCCTCCCCCAGCCTCGCCCCTCGCTTCCCGGAAATCTCCTTTGATCCAGCCTCTGGCCTCAGCAGCGTTGATTGCTGCCTCAGCGCTGTTCTTTCAGCATTGCTCAAGCCCTCCTGCCTCCAGTCTGGGCGCACCTGCCTGCTCCTCAGGGAGCCCCTCCCTGCCCCCTGCCCTCCTGATCTGAGTCACCTTTCCCCTCCCCTGGCTCACACACACATTCTGTGGCACCGCATGCTAATGATATTTCTTTCCAGAACATAACAGCATGGGTATATATTGTATAACTGTTTAGTTGATGATCCCTGAGTCCCTCCCAGAATAGAGGCCCCTGGGGGAAGGTATCTCCTGGTCACCAATCTATGCCCAGTGCCCACTCGGCTCAGGGTGGGAGCAAGGGCTGCGCTGGGGCTGCCCAAAGCTTCTCGGCTCTCCTAGTCTGAAAGGCCATTGCGAGTGGCTTGGGACTGTTCTGTGTCTCTACTTATTCCTCTGGGTACCAGGCCCAGCGATCCTATAGAAGTGCACCCTCCCTATGTGACCCCCTCCCCCATGTGACTCCTCCATCAACACAGCACCCTCAGGGCCAGTTGCAGGGTGACAGGAGGCCACTGTTATCAGGGCGCCTGGACACTGCTCACGTCTCAGTCTGCCAGTTTGGGGGGTGGGGGTGGAGGGTGGCGGGGAGCAACCTAGGAGGACGGTGGGTGCGGCAGGAAAGCCACTGCCTCAGCCTCCAGGGCGCCCTACCATCAGGCCCGCAGGGTGGGGCTCGGGCAGCGCTGAACCAGCTGAGGCTCATTTATTGCCAACAGGTAAAGGTCAGAGGTAGAGGCCCGAGGTGGAAGCGGTGGGCAGGGGTTCGGCTGACATCGGAGGGGGGCCCACGGGAGTGGGATGGTCAGGGCACCACTCTCCCCAGCAGTACCAGCCACAGAGCCCCCGTCACCGCGGCCAGCGCCGTGGACGGCCCGGGGTGCGCCGCGTCGGTGCTGGGCCCGGGGATGCTGGCGTTGGCGGGGGGCTCCAGGCCGCAGGCGGTGTAGGGCTCCAGGCAGGCAGCGAAGGCCATGAGATGCGCCACCAGGCTCTGCTCCTGCACCCCGTGCATTAGGTGCGCCTGCGGGCCACGCGCGAACACCGCCACGTCCTCCCCACCGTGGGTCTCGGACGACAGGGGCACGGCCGCCTGCTGCTTGTAGTTGGGGTCATCTGGCCAGAGACGGGGGTTTAGGGTGGGGTTCCGGGTCCTTGGACAATCCCCCCTCCCCCCTCCCCCGCCAGGGAGTTCCCCACGGAGGTCACCTGCCTGCCCCCCGGGTGGGGCACTCACTGCTCTGGCTGTCACTGACGTTGGGACGGGAGCCCCCGCTGATCACGAAGCCGGGGCCGTTGCCATAAAGGATGGAGGTGTAGGTCTTGCCATCGGAAGCTGCCTCAGGAGCCAGCCCTGCAGGGAGAAGGGCCCCTGGGATGGCACCACCACAGCTCTGCAGCGCCCCCTGTGTGCTAATCCCAGGCACTGCTTGCCTATTCAATACTTAAATCCGCACAAGACCCTGCAGGGTTATGGCTATTATGACCCCATTTGACAGTTGAGCAAACTGAGGCTCACAGCGTTTCCTGCCTCCTAATTGAGGAAGCCGCGTCTGCCACTCCCTCTCCCAGACCTACCGAAAATGGAGGTGCCACGCAGAGTGTAACCGCCAAAAGTGAAGACGTGAGAGTGGTCGGCGGTGACAAGGGTCAGTGTGTCCTTCTCGCTGGTGAGCTGGCTGGCCCTGTTAATGGCGTCATCAAAACCGACAGCCTCGGTCAGTGCGAAGTAGGCTCTTCCCGCATGGTGGCCTTGGTCAATGCGGCCCCCTGCGGAGAGACCGTGGGTGGGTTTTTCCCGGCGATGACGACCTCCCCCCACAACATGGCTCTCGCTGAGGATCTCCGCCATCCCTCCCCGGAAGAGGAGAAGAGGAAACACAAGCAGCAGCGCCTGGTGCAGAGCCCCAATTCCTACTTCATGGATGTGAAATGCCCAGGCTGCTATATGATCACCACCGTCGTTAGCCACGCACCAACGGTAGTTTTGTGTGTTGGTTGCTCCACTGTTCTCTGTCCGCCAACAGGAGGAAAAGCAAGGCTTACAGAGGGATGCTCCTTCAGAAGGAAGCAGCACTAAAAGCACCTCAATCAAGATGAGTGGGAAACCATCCCAATAAACACATTTTGGACACACACACAAACAAAAGACCGTGGGTGGGCGTTGGGGAACCCGCCATGAACCCTGACCTCCCTCTGCTCAGGGAGGGGGCCACGCACTCACCCTCCACGAAGAGGTAGAAGCCCCGGGGGTTCCTGCTCAGCAGGCGCAAGGCGGCCTCTGTCATCTCCTTCAGGCTCGGGTCCTGCTTGCTGTCTCTTTGGGCCTCATACTTCATGTCCTTTGGCTCAAACAGGCCTGTGGGGAAGGGCACGGGGTGACGGACACGCTGTGGAGTGAGGTCCGTGCACACATGCGTGTCCAGGGACCCACGGGGGGCGGGGAGGCGGGATGGGCAGGCGGGAGGAGCAGTCATTACCCATGAGGTGTGTCACGGAGTGGTTCTGGGACGCCTGGAGGAGCGCTGTTCGGTTCCACACGTACTGGGCGCCCTGGCAGGGACAGAAGCGGGCCTCAGCCCACGGCGCTCCCACCAGCAGCCATGCCCTCGCCCCTGCTGTCCCCTGCACCCACAGCCCCATCACCTCGTGCTTGGCCAGCCACTCCTGAACCAGGTTCCGCATGTCTAACCTGGTTCCTTGATGTGAGGCGTCACCAGGGTACTCAGGGTCTGGGGTGCCCTTGGGAAACATGTACTTGCGGCCTCCACCCAGGATCACCTGGAGCCAGAGCAGGAGGGCAGGTGAGCTTGGGGCCTGCCTGGCCCTTTGCCCCCTGAACAAGCAATCTCCAGGTCCCCTCTGCCTCCATCGAAGGCCTGGCTTGCCTGAACCTTTACACCACCATCCCATGTGCCCAGAGACACTGCCAGGCCCCTGCTCCTGCCCCAGGCTCCTGCCCCTGCCCCAGGCCTCAGGGCTCAGGCTGTGGGTTGCCTGGGACTGTGACCAGCATGGGGCTCACCCCCTCTGCTCAGGTCCCCACTGCCCCATGACCCACATCAATGTCCACGTTGGAGATGAGCTGAGTGGCAATGTCCTGACAGCCGTCCTTCAGTGCCTGGGCAGGCATGTCTGCGTCCGAGTACCATTCGCGGTTCACCGTGTGCGCATAGGTGCCTGCTGGCGAGGCGTGCTGCACCCTCGTTGTGGTCACCACCCCCACTGACTTCCCTGAGGGGGAGGGAGGTCCGGTCAGGGTGAGCCCACTGTGCGCTCTGGGCCCCACCCCTGCCCACTAGGCCGGCCCCCAGCCCACCTGCTTTCTTGGCCCGGCTCATCACGGAGATGACCTCGTTGCCACGTGTGGTGTTGCACTGGTTATACCGGGCCGCGGCACTCACACCGATGGTCCGGTAGTTGGTTTTGACACCACACAGGTAGGCCGTGGCCGTGCCTGCACTGTCTGGCACTTGTCTGTCCACGTTGTATGTCTGGGGACAGAGACACCCTCAACTCCTCTCTGGGACAGACACCCAGATCATGACGAGGCCCTAGGCCCCTAACTCGGGCCCCAACCCTCTTGGGCCTTCCCTCCTACCAGGCTCCCTAGGCCCACCCACCCCTGTGGTGTGGAGCATCCTGAGGCCACCCAGCCCTTACCTTGGCCAGAGCCATGTACGGGAACTTGTCCATGGCCAGGGGGGTCTCAGGTCCCAGCTTGCCATTCATCTGTGCCTTTAGGATCCGAGCTGCGCTCACTGTGGGCACCCCCATCCCTGAAGGAGAGAAACCCTGTGAGGTCTGTGTCCGCAGGCAGCCCAGGTACCGGGACTGAGGCTCTGGGAACGGACGTGCCGTACACACTCACCGTCCCCCAGGAAGAGAATGAGGTTCTTGGTGGCTGTTTGGATGGGCTGCAGCTTCTTGGCCGCGTCCAGAGCCTGGGCTGCCTGGTAGTTCCAGAAGGTTGGGTCTTCCTCCTCAGCTGGCCAAGGGGAGAGGGCGGTCAGGTCTGCTTTGGAGGAGCGCCCCATGTGTGGGCCCGCTGGGAGGGGCCTGTTACCTGGGATGAATCCATGGGACAGCTGTGTTCCCAGGCCCAGCAGCAGCAGCTGCAGCATGTGGGCTCCCTGCATGCCTGAGGGATGGTGGGCCAGCGAAGGAGCTGGGACTGCAGAGAGGCCGGGACCTGGTGAGGCAGGGACTTAGACAAGGCTGAGCCACCAGGGCACCAGCTGCAGGGCAAGCTCTTGGGGCTTAATCAGGAGAGGACTTTAGCCCTGGCTATAAAAGTCTCCATGTCCCTCCAATGACCCAGGCAGCTCCCCTGATCCCACCCCTGCCTGCTTGCAGAAGGAAAGTGATAGAGTGTGGCGAAGTTTTGAGGCCTGAACAAGGTGGAGCCTGCTGTCTGCCAGGTTAGAGTGGGGTCAGAGGATAGATGCCAGCTGGACAATAATTCCAGCAGGTCATAAATGCAAGAAGTTTCATCAAAAGGTTGATGGAAGCTTGAGGATTGCCTGCTGGAAATAGCATTTCCCCACACCTAAAGATTTGCATAAATGATTGCTTGCTGCCAGACAGCTGAGGGCATCTCAATCTACATGTTATTGCCTCCTACTGGCCAAACACCTAAACAGCCATAGGTAGTTCTCCCAATCTGACAATGGATTCTGTATTCTAAACCTTACCTTTGATCTGTATATCTACTTTGCCTTAGGACAATTTGTGTTAATAAAAAGCAAGGGGTCCCAAGACACGCAGAATTTGGTTCCTACAGTCCCCCAAAATGCCTTCCAAAATTATGTTTCATCTCTAGACTCTTTAATAATTTATAGTAGCCCTCTCCAGATTCCTGAACCTTTCTAGATACTGGACAAGACCCCTGGCAGGTGCCCTCAGGGTGAGGAGCATTTGCAGGGTCCTGATGTGGCCACCCTGACTCTCTGCTCCCACAGTCCTGGGAATCCATCACTTCTTCATTCACCTGGTTTTGTTCTATGTTAACCTTGAGACCTGGGTCCAGGCTCAGTTCTGGGTATGGAGGAAGGTGGAGTATATAGAAAAAATGGACACTAGACCGGGAGGAGGCCAGATGGTGACTGATCAGACGGACTTGTTCTGAGCCTAGTCCCAGAACAGATATAAGCAGCTTCTGAGAGTCGCTCAGGGAGTATTGATTTTCATGCTAAGGGGTAGCAGAACTCTAAAGGAAGGTAAGGATCCTCTGGACAGGATTTCCTGACCAAGCAGCCAGCACTGCGGCGGCAGAGACCTCTCCCGGAGCTACGGGCTCAGAGGGAAGGCTGCGCCATCTAGGTTAACACATCTTTGAAAAGTCTCTCTTCAGAACCCTTGGAAGAAAAACCACCCTCAAGAGAGCACATAATTTTATTAACTATCCTGTAATCCAATCTTGCCTTGCTTTCTCTTACCTTCATGTAATCTTCCTTATGTTCCCTCCTTAATTCCTAATGTATAAAAGAAGCTACAAATGAAAGAAAGAAAGAGAAAAAGAAAGGGAGGAAGAAACTGCAAACGACATCCTAAGAAGCATTTTTTCCCTCAGTCTGTTGAGATCTTATCTCCAGGTATATGCTTTGTTTGGATCAAATACTTTTTAATAAAAATCATCTACAGGTTTAATTGTTTGTTTGTTTGTTTGTTTGTTTTGGGGGGGTTACAGAGAGGAAGGGAGAGGGATAGAGAGCTAGAGACATCGATGAGAGAGAAACATCGACCAGCTGCCTCCTGCACACCCCCTACTGGGGATGTGCCCGAAACCAAGGTACATGCCCTTGACTTGAATCAAACCTGGGACCTTTCAGTCCGCAGACCAACACTCTATCCACTGAGCCAAACTGGTTTTGGCAAATTCCTCTAGTTTAGACATTCTTACATGGGCATTAGTTGGCTCAGCTGGCAGGATTCTAAATAAGCCCACCCAGGACCACCCTGCACCAGGCCAGGTATTAGGTATCAGTGTGCCCCCTGCACTCCAGGGGCTCTTTGACCCTCACTAGGTAAACTTGGGTGAGTCTCCTCTTGAAATCCTTAACCTACCTGCTTTAGGTAGTGGTTCCTGTCTTTGAGTTGTTCTATTTATTATTATTTTTTCATTGATTTTAGAGAGAGGAAGGGAGAGAGAAACATCAATGTGAGAAACATCATTTGGTTGCCTCTTACACATGCCCTGACTAGGGATCGAACCCGCCTCCTTTCAGCATACAGGACAACTCTCCAAACAACTTAGCCACACCGGTCAGGGCCATTTGAGTTGTTCTTAACTGGCTCAAAATTAAAATTAAAATTAACGTGGGAAATTGTACATCCAAGGCTGACAAGCCCCATGATAGTCAGCCTCCGTTCAGTACTCAGGCAAGTTTCATGTGCAATTTGTATGAAGCCTCGAATTGAGAGTGTTTACAGAAATGGGGAGAATTAGATAAAAGTGACAGCAGCTTAACATGGGCAACAAACGTATCTTTAGATACCGCTAAGCTCTTTTTTGTGTGCTTGATGGGAAAAATCAGGCTTTGGAATGGAACTGGATAAATGGGACACTAACCTTGATTAGAAAATAGAAGTCTGTACAAGGAGCACAGGTAAGCTTTCCTCTGCTCGGGAATTCAAGAGAATTTTAAAGACTGTTTCTGAACAGTCAGATAACATTTTTTTCTCTTCAAGGAAGTTAGCAAGAAACTTTTAGAAACTGTCTCTGAGCTAAAGAAGGCTTCTGAGGCTGCGCAGGCCAACACCCACTTCACCCTTCCTCCTTTCTGACTCCCCTTTCTGGGCTCGCCTCCCCTTTCTTCACCTCCTCTTCTCTCCGCATTACTATCACCCTCTACTGCGTAGGGGAAAGTAAGAATTAAAAGAACAGAATAGGGCTAGAAACACACACACACATCACACACACACCAAAAACAAAAACAAAAAAACAATCCCATACAAATCATTGTAGCTCTGCTTAGAGAAAACCCAGTCTCAGGATGAGGGGAACCAGCAATAATTTGCTCTCAAGGACTAAAGCAGGATTAAGGAATCTAACTATAGATTTTCCTGGTCCTCTTTAAGACCCTTTTGGGTTTGCAAAAGAATTTTATTTAATTGTTAGAATATATGATCCTGGATATCCTAAAATGTTTCAACCAATACAGCTACCAGTTTCTGAGAGCAAAGCAGCAGAAGAGCTAAATGAGATCCGCTGGAAAACTCGTATAGAGGATTAAAAAAAAAAAAAAAAAAAAAAAAAAAAAAAAAAAGGCAGAAACAGGCCAAGAAAAATGCGATTGGGTGAAAATCCAACAATATCAATGAAAACATATTTGATTTATTTGAATGTTTTGGAAAAAAAGTTTCAAACAACATTCAGGATGGTCTCCAGACAGTTTTAAGGAACATCAGAATGATCCAATGCTTATCAGCATTTCTGGAAGGATTAGATGAGGAGCTTGTAACTCTGATCGAACAACATGAATTAAACCGGTCAACCACACATGTAAGCAATTCTGATAAACTAGCAATTCTGGCCCATCACTTATTTGAAACAATTCAAAGGCAGAAAAGGATAAAGCTACTAAAATTATGAATGTAAGCTCCAGCAGCTAAACAATCAGGTCAGACCTCCTTAAAGGACTTTCCAATGAGGTCAAAAGAGAGTCTCTTTTTACTGTAAAAAGCCAAATTGTCTTAAGGAAAATTGTCAAAGATTGAAATGGAATTTAGAAGAAAAAAAGGGGGGGGGAGTGGAGAGAGGAGCAAGCATGGAGCTTCTCTAAGGGTTATGAGAGGGTGTTTCCCCTTCTTCTTACCAATGCTTTATGAGAAATTGAAATTACCCCCAGGCTAGTGTTGCTCAGTGGTTGAGCATCAACCCATGAAACAGGAGGTGACGTTTCGATTCTCGATCGGGGCACATACCTAGGTTGCAGGTTTAATCCACAGTCTAGGCGGGAAGCAATTGATTAATATCTCTCTCACACTGATGTTTCTCTCCCCCCACCCCTTTTCCTCTCTCTCTAAAAGGCAATAAAAACATATTCTCAGGTGAGGATTAAAAAAACAAAGGTATATTATCAGACATCCTGTGGTTATCTTATTATCAGCCATTCCTGTGGATTGCCAATATTTTTTCATAAGGTCTCTGTAGTGCCTTCTTCGGCATTCCTGTGGAAAAGACAGCCAATAGCTCTTTACCATCACCTGGGGGAGACCTGCCATTTGCGTGGACCGTCATGTGAAGGGATAGACAGAAACCCACCCATTTTTCTCAGCTACTAAAGGCTGATTTAAATTATGTTGATGTTCCCGGAGACTGAACCCTAATCCAATAGGTAGATGATTTAGTTTTATTCTCTAAGATATAACTAGACTCCCTAAAGGACACCATTTACTTATGACAGCAGCTGGCTATAAAATAACATAACGTCCCAAAAGACAAGCTCTGATGCTGTTTGCCTCAAGTAACGTCGTACTTGGCGGTTTGATATTTAAAGAATGGGATACTTAGACAGGTGGCTACTGGGTTTGGGGCCATGTCTTGGGTAGCTGGTGGTGAGGCCAGGGGTCCGCTCAGCTCACACGATCTGAGGCCCAGTGTCAACTGCAACCTCAAGGCTCCAGCAAACAATCGATCGGGGTCCCTGGGAAACCACTCCTTCCCAGGGCTGCTGCAGCCAGAGAACCTCAGTAGGAGGAGCTGGTCCATGTGCTGAGGGCATCTGTGATGGACTAGGAAGGACCACGAGTGATGAACTAGCCACAGGGTCTTCCGGTGACAGGAAAACCGGGAGAGCTGACCTTGCTCTCGAGCTGCTCCCGCAGAGCCCGTCCCCGAAGCTCTGGAGCAGGAGCCCAGGTTGTCCGAGCATCTGGGAAGGAGACCTCTGGGCTCGTACTCCTCTCCGGTTGTCCCAGACAGCAAGCCGCCTCCAGAAGTCTCTGCCCGCTCACGAGGAGCCACCCACGGGGCTGTCACTGATGGGATCCCGGCTACTTCTGAGGGCAGACCCGGCAGCTCTGAAACCGCAACACGTTGATGGTGTTGGCTTCGCAGTTCCAGTGAAGTCCCTGTCCTGAAAGGACATCCTGGAAGGTGTCAGGAGGACCCTAAGCCACTTCCGTGTGGTGGCCACCGGCTCTGGCTGTGCTCTGTCCCAGCTGCAACCACTCACAGCGTTCCCTGGTCAGCTGCAGGCACGCATGGTACCACAGCTCTGCCCTGTGCCCGCGTGGCACTGTCCTGGGCCAGCCCTTTCTACTGCCGGCGGAGAGCACAAAACCCCAAAGACAGGTCCTGGACAAAGCCTCCCCGGACGCCTCCACCCGACGCTGCCCAGGCCGCCCAGATGCCCTCGCACCCCCACCTGCGCCGTCTCCGCCTCCCGGGTCCCAGGCACAGGGATGCCCCATAGAGCTTTGGGCACCTTTGCCCTCTTATTTCTCCAGGAGCCTACAGTGCCCGGGGCTCCACCAACAATAGTCCTTCTGTTCCTGCTGTTCCTACTGGAAAGTGGTGAACAGACTGGAGGAAAAGGAGCTCAGTGTGCAACAGGCGGTAAGGTCTTGGTTTAGGGCTCTGTGGTTGGACTAACCTAAGATCACGTCCTGGCGAGGCACTTGCTGTGTAGTGTTGGACAAATAACTTCACCTCTCTGGACTTGAGATAATAAATGTACCTAACTCATAGTATAATTTTGAGGATTTGCTGGAAAGGTTAAAAAAAAAAAAAAAAAGTGGGGTACTAATTAACTCTGAAAGACTCAGATGACTCCTAGCCTTTCCTCTTCCAAGAACTAGGAAACAGCTCAGGGGCTTTGTAGAGATATCTGGACACTGTCACAACTGGGTCCCAACTTTTTCATTAATGGCTCAACCTCTACATGCCACATTGCAAACAGATGGACTTGAACTCATTGAAGTAGAAGGGAAACAAAGTGTAGGAGCTCTAAAGGAAGGATTATCTGAAGCTCCAATTTTGGGACACCCTAATTATAAACTCCCTTTCTTTCCTTTTACACAGGAAAATAAAGGAAACGCTTTAGGAATTCTGACTCAGAAACACGGAGAGCGTCATAGCTCCATAGAATATCATAGTTAGCAATCAGACTCAGTACCCAACGGCTCCCTCGCTGAATGAGGGCCACCTCTGCTGCAACCAGGTTATGCAAACAAACATTTAACCATTGCTGTAACCAGTTTGGCTCAGTGGATAGAGCCGCAGATTGAAGGGTCCCAGGTTCAATTCTGGTCAAGGGCATGTATCTTGGTTGCAGGCACATCCCCAGTAGAGGGTGTGCAGGAGGCAGCTGATCGATGTTTCTCCCTCATCGATGTTTCTAACTCTCTATCCCTCTCTCATCCTCTCTGTAAAAAAATCAATAAAATATAGGTTTTTTTTAAAAACATAACCATTTATGTTCCTCCTTTTTCTGTCAAATCTTTGCTAAACTCTCACCACTACTCAAATGGCTTCTTATGAAATACTCCTGGTTTCTACACCTAATATTACTTTTGTCCAACGTCTTAACCCAGCAACTTTACTACCTTCTTTACAGGATAGAAACACTGACCACCTCCTTTCAGGTGGATATAATAAAAAGTTCTCATTTAGCTGAATTAACAAACCAAGTAAATTGCTCTAACTCACCCAGCTGGCATGAGTCAGTGATTGAACATCAACCTGTGAAGTAAGAGGTCATGGTTCAATTCCTGGTCAGGGCACGTGCCTGGGTTGTGGGCTCAATTCCCAGTGGGGGACGTTCAGGAAGCAGCTGATCAATGATTCTCTCTCATCACTGATGTTTCTATCTTTCTCTCTCTTCATCTCTGAAATCAATAAAAAGACATAAATTAAATTGCTTTAATTGAAGCTTGTCAGTTGGCCAAACACCAAGTAGTAAGTATTTACACTGACAATCACTGTGCCTTTGGTGTAGCTCATGACTTTAGAAAGTTATGGAAGCAACAGTCTTCTCAACTTCTGTAGGGGTTGTCTATAAGGAATGGAAAACAGGTTGAAGAATTATTAGATCACATACAGCAATCAAGACAACTGGAAATAATCAAGATTCCTGGACATTCTAAAGCTACCAGCAAACAAAAAGAAACCATTTAGCTGATGCAGCAGCTAAACAAACAGCAGTAAGCAATCAAATTATCTGGACCCAAGAATGTTCTTTGCTCTCTGCTAATAAAAGACTCTGTTTTAAGAAATCAATAAATTAGTAGATTATTCATTTCAGAGTTCACTTCCAGTAACGCAGACTTCAAAGACCATGGCTTACAATCAGCAGATTTTGTCTATTGAAAGAGATATCAAAGACTCTCTCCAATCTCATTAGAAAAGACCAAATCAGGTGTTACTAACAAATCCGTGTGCAACTTAATTTAAAGGAGTTAACTCATGGATTCACATTTCTCATCTAAAAAAGATTCTGCCCCTGTCAGATGTCCACTTGCCTGCACCTAAAACAGACATCAGACTCCTCTAGGATGAGACACTGCTGACAACAGAGGCAGACAGCGATCCCAAGACATTAACAAGGTCTGTGAATCTCCAGACCTTGAACTCAAAATCCATTTTCTTTGATTGTCTTTACCTGTCTACTAATCCTATATAATAAAACCCTAATATGCCAATCAACAGAATGGTGAGTGGATCGCACTGACCAGCAGGGGGCAGATGCTCAATGTAGGAGCCGCCCCCTGATGGTCAGTGTGCTCCCATAGGGGGAGTGATGCTCAGCCAGAAGCCAGGCTTACAGCTGGTGAAAGCAGCAGTGCTGGCAGGAGCCTCTCCCGCCTCCGCTGCAGGCGGGTGGTAAGAAGTGAGAGGTCCCAGACTGCGAGAGCCCCAGATTACGAGGAGAATATCTGACTGCTGGCTTAGGCCCGATTCCCTCAGGCCTAAGCTGACAGGTGGACATCCCCCAAGGAGTCCTGGACTATGAGAGGGCACAGGCCAGGCTGAGGGACCCCCAGTGCACGAATGTCATGCACTGGACCTCTAGTAATATTATAATATACAGTAGAACTTCGTTTCTCGAACTTAATTTGTTCTGGAAGGCTGTTCAAAAACCAAATTCTTTATCCCCATTAGGAATAATGTAAATTGAATTGATCTGTTCCAGACCTCCTAATGATTCCCTGTTTTAACCTTTGTTATTTTCTACTATACTACTTCATCTGCAAATAAGCACTTTAAAAACAAAAAGGACATGAACTGTAAATGAAAATTTAACAAAAAAGGAAAGGAAATGTATGGTAAAAAATGAAAATGTAACAAAAATTATAAGCAGCAACAAAAGAAAAAAAATACACACAGAAATATTCAAAGCATATTGTCCTGAGATTTTTACAGTGGTAAACTGACTCATATTTACACATTTTCTCCTATTTGTCACCTAAGAGGTGTGTGACTGATCATATAGGTATCAGCATGAAAAGGTTGTAAGGTTGAGAAATGAATTCTTAAAGAAATGAGTTTCCACTGTACTTATTCTTTTTTTCTATACAGTTCAACCGTTTATGATTATAGTAAAAGATAATTGTTAATACTCTATGACTTATGTAAATGTTACACTAGATGCAAAATTCAGAAAAATGAGAGAGACTAAAAACCTAGGACCATGATAGAAATGATTGGTGGAAATGATTCAGTTTTTTTCTCAATGAAGGCCATACAATCTGACTGCCTTCCGTTTACCTGCCCATTCCTTTGGGGAAAATTTGGCCTCAGTTCACATCCCATAGTTACAGAATTGCCCCATCCTCAATAACCCACCATTTCTACAAGAGGGCGATACTGAGATTTCCTAGGAATGAGTCTTTTGAGCCCTGTATGACTCACTGCCCAACCAAAGTGTTAATCATCAATGCATTCTTCAGACTGATTTATGGCCACAGGCCCATGTTAGAAATCCTTGGATTTTTCTACGGCAGCAGCTTCAGGGTGAGCAGAGCCCAGCCAGTGAGGTGTCCTGCTCACAGTTACAAGATTGGCTGTGAGCATGAAAACTCCCCAGATAACCAAGAACGAGTCATCTTGATGGCAAAGTATGGAAAAGGGCTCTTGTGAGTTTTCCTCCTCCTCTCTCTAACTTCCCTCCTAACTCAAGACCAAGGTGCTGACAAGTCTTGAGTGACAAGAGCTGTCAGTTTTAGGCCCCCAGTAAAAACCTTAAAAAACACACTTCCCCTGTGTCTGCCCCTTCAAGGTAAAGACAACCAAACAGAGGTTAGGAATATTCCCATGGACACCTGATCTTGCGGACAACAATGTGTTTGGCGATACACCCCCTCATACCTACACATGGAAATAACTTGGAAGCAGAAAGTATTATAAAAAATTTCAATAGTCCTGGTCAAGTAATTAAGTTGGTTAGGGCATTGTCCCAATATGCCAAGATTGTAGGGTTGATTTGTCGGGGCACATACAAGAATCATTCAATGAATGCATAAATAAGTGGAACAACAAATTGACATTTCTCTCCCTCTCTCTCCTTTCTTCTCTCTAAATAAATACATACCATAAAATTCACCCTTTTAAAGTGCACAGGTCAATGTCCTTTAGAATGTTTGAAGTTGTGTGGCCATCAACACTGATTCTAAAATAACCTATTTCTAAAATCTGTAGAGTTTTAAAATGTAGGGCTACCTTGTTGTTGTTGTTTTGTGTTTGTTTTTTTAAATATATTCTTATTGATTTCAGAGAGGAAAGAAGAGGGAGAGATAGAAACATCAATGATGAGAGAGAATCATTGATTGAGTGCCTCTTGCACTGGGAATAAAGCCCCCAGTCCTGGCATTTGCCCTTGACTGGAATCAAACCCGGACTCTTCAGTCTGCACACTGATGCCCTGTCCACTGAGCCAAACCATCTAAGTCGGGTTACCTTGTGTTCTGAGTCCATTGATGAAGCAAACATGTGGCACCTCCCCACTGGTGGGTCAGATCCACTGACGGACAAAGGGAAGACAGACAGCTGCTGGGTTCTAACACAGCCCTTTGCACACCCTGTGCACAGAGTTCCCGGTGATGAGGCGCTCAGTGAGCCCAGCGGACGATGCCCTCTCCCATCGTGCTCCCATGCTTGTGACAGCCACCAAAACCCAGGATTGGACTCAACGGCCCTGACACCCAGGCTTTTAGGTGATGTGAGTGTTAGTCAGGATGGCAGTGAATGAGGAAGCATGCTCTCTCATCTTAGTATTCCCAGTCAGAGCCAAGTGGTTTTCTGCACCTTTGTCAATGGATAAATAAATGTGTAATTCTGTTAACGTGCATTGGGAAATAGGGTTGATTTCACCTTTCTGGGCTTCTTTTAAATGTTCCCTTTGGGTGGGTTAGACACTCAGTGAGTGTAGCTGTACTGGAGTGGGTTCACCCAGAATGTTGACCCTGGGATGGAGGTCAGAAGGTTTGTGTCCACATTTCCCCTCAGGGTTCCTATCTTCTGCTTCTGCCCTTCTCCCTCCAACAAAAAACAAACAAACAGAATATAGACTCCCCAGGGTAGCCAGGATTTCATATATGTATATACCAGAGGCCTGGTGCACGAAATTCATGCACAGGGGTATGTGTCCCACAGCCCAGCCTGCACTTTTTCTAATCTGGGACCCCTCGAGGGATGTCAGACTGACCGTTTAGGCCTGATCAGGCCTAACCAGTCAGTCAAATATCCCTCTCACAATCCAATCCAGAACTGCTGGCTCCCAACCACTCATCTGCCTGCCTGCCTTATTTCCTCTAACCATTTTTGCCTGCCAGCCTGATCAATGCCTAACTGCTTCCCTGCCAGCCCAATTGCCCCTAACTGTCCTCCCCTACTGGTCTGGTCCTCCCCAACTCCCCTCACCTGACAACTCAATTGCCCCTAACTTCACTCCCTTGCCAGCCTGGTCACCCTATCTGCCCTCCCCTGCTGGCCCGATTGCCCCCAACTGTCCCTCCCTTCTGGCCATCTTTTATGTTGGAGTGATGGTCAATTTGCATATTACCTTTTTATTCTATAGGATACACTTTATTGTTGAGAATATTATAGATTAAAGATATCCCACTTGGCCCCATTGTCCCTCTTCACCCAGTTCCCACCCCAACCCAGACCTTTACCACCATATTGTCTGTGTCCATGGTTATGCATATATGCCTATAAGTTCTTTGGTTAATCTCTTCCCACATCCTCTCATACCTTTCCTCGAGATTCGTCAGTCTGTCTCATGTGTCCATGCCTCTGGTTCTATTTTATTCATCAGTTTATTTTGTTCACTAGATTTCTTGTTCATTTATTTTGATTATTAGATTCAACTATTGATAGATTTGCATTTATTGCCATTTATTGTTTATATTTTTCATTTCTTCTTCTTGACAATACTTTAATATTTCATGTAATACTGGTTTGGCAGTAATGAACTCCTTTAGCTTGTCCTTGTCTGGGAAGCTCTTTCTCTGACCTTCAATTCTAAATTATAGCTTTGCTGGATAGAGTAATCTTGGTTGTAAGTCCTTGATTTTCATCACTTTGAATATTTCTTGCCATGCCCTTCTGGCCTGCAAAGTTTCTGTTGAGCAATCAGCTGACAGTCATATGGGCACTCCCTTGTAGGTAATTAACTGCTTTTAACTTGCTGCTTTTAAGAGTCTCTCTTTGTCTTTAACCTTTGTAATTGTAATTATGATGTGTCTTGGTGTGGGCATCTTTGGATTCTCTTGTTTGGGACTCTCTGTGCTACATAGACTAGCAAGTCTATTTCTTTCACCAGATAGGGGAAGTTTCCTGTCTTTATTTCTTCAAACAGGTTTTCAATAAATATATTTTATTGATTTTTTACAGAGAGGAAGGGAGAGAGATAGAGAGTTAGAAACATCAATGAAAGAGAAACATTGATCAGCTGCCCCCTGCACACCTCCCACTGGGGATGTGCCTGCAACCCAGGTACATGCCCTTGACTGGAATCAAACCTGGGACCTTTCTGCAGGCTGATACTCTTATCCACTGAGCCAAACCAGTTTTGGCAAGGTTTTCAATATCTTTCTCTCTTTTCTCCTTCTGGTACTCCATAATGTGAATTGTCCCAAAAGCTCCTTATACTAGCTTCATATTTTTGGATTCTTTTTTCTTTTTGCTCTTATTATGTGTTTTTGCTTCCTCATATTCCAAATCATTGATTTCATTTTCAGCATCCTCTACTCTAATGTTGATTCCCTGTAAATTATTCTTCATTTTAATTAGTGTATCCTTCATTTCTGACTGGACCTTTTTCAAGTCTTTGAAATTCTCATTAAGATCCTTGAAAGTCTCACTGAGTCCCTTGAAGCTCTCATTATAATCATTATTTTGAACTCTATATCCATTAGTCTGCTTGCTTCCATTCCATTTAGGTCTTTTTCTCCAGATTCTTTTTCTGGTCTTTCATCTGTGACATTTTTCTTTGGCTTTGCATTTTGGCTGCCTCCCTGTGTTTGCTTCTATGTATTAGGTAGAGCTGCTATGTCTCCTGGAATTGGTAGAGTGGCCTTGTGTAGTAGGTGTCCTGTAGGGTCCAGTGGCTCAGCCTCCCCAATCACCTGAGCTGGGCACTCTAGGTGCACCCCTGGGTGGACTGTGTGCGCTGTCTTGTTGTAGTTGAACCTTAATTGCTGTTGGTGTCACTAGGAGGAATTGACCTCAGGCCAACTGGCTGTGAGAACCAACAGCGGAAGAGCTGTTGTGCAGAAGACACCCCTATGGAGTAGGACTTGCTTCAATGGGGCTTTGGTGCTCAAGTCTACCCCTTGAGTGTGTCACTCATAGATGTGTATGGTCTGAAGCTGCCCACCAGTTGCACTGGCTCTGGGCCTCCTGGGAGATACAATCATTGCCTGTGCCCAGCTTGGGACTACCCACACAAGCAACAGAGTGATCTGCAGATGGCTCCTGGTGCCAGGAGAGGCCAAACTGCGATCCAACACAGGCTGCTGCTAATGTCAGGCCTGAGGCCACTTATTAAGAGGTATGGGACTCACTGGGTCCAGCTGCTACTTGTTGAGGGATTTAGGAAAGTGTGAAGCCTGAGCCAGGACAGGCTATTCATAGGGAAAAGCTGCTGCAAATGATTTGAGTGGTGCTGCAAATTGGGCAAGGTAGAATCTCAGGGTATCACCAGGGCAGGGCAAACAGTGGGCCAGGTTGGAGGCTCAGATATGGCTCCTGCCATTCAGCTGTGTCAGGGAGAGGTTTCAGCATGGGAACAATGACCTCTGTGAGCACTTTTGTCTGGGAGAAAGCTGCCCACCCCCGAGGTCTTGCCCTGATGCCAGACAATTTAGTTCCTTCCAGGTTACATGTATGTCTGGATCCTTTCAAGCTGCTGCCCAGCACTGGAGCTCAGAGGGAGTGAGTCTGAGTAAGCCTGTGTGCTGGCCCTTTAAGAACTGTCTGGTCTCCAGAAGCCTCTGTGTCAGTTACAATCACTGCTGGTTTTTATAGCCTGAAATTATGGGGACTCTTTCCAATACTGGAAGCCTGGGCTGAGGGATCTGCCACGGGAATGGGACCCCATGCTCCTCGTAGGAGGCCCTCACAGCCAAGATATCCATCTGAATTAAAATACAACAAAAAAACACCACGCAAGGGTCTAGACTAGCCCAGTCTGCACTTCTGCCCCTCCTTTCCATCTCAACATGCTTTCGTCCTTAATTCCCTTGTGTGATGTGACCTTATTCAGATTTCAGGCATTTCTGAATGATGGTTGTTCTGTTACTTTAGTGGTTTTTTTTGTTTTGTTTTGTTTTTTAATCCTCACCTGAGGATATTTCCCCATCGTTTTCAGAGTGAGAGAGAGGGGAAAGATAGAAATATCTGTGAGAGAAACCCAATTGGTTGCCTTTTACACGAGCCCAGACCAGGATCTGGACCAGGAAGGAGCCTGCAACCGAGGTATGTGCCCTTGACCGGAATCAAACCCGGAATCGAGGCCCTTTGGTCTGCAGGCCTATGCTCTATCCACTGAGCAAGACTGGCTAGGGCTTAGTTGTATTTTGATGTGGTCGTGGGAAGAAGAGTACATTTACCCATGCCACCATCTTGGTCCCTCCCCACATATGCCAGGTTGATATTTTCAAAAAAGTCATGTTATGTCCCTGCTCAAAGCCACACTCTGGATGAAGTTTGAGCTCTTTTCCCATTCCTCCTTATCCCTATCCAACCCACAACTTTGACTCAAAGTCACTTGCTGCCACAGGGCCCTTGCTAGCTTTGCTGAAGTGCTCTTGGGCACCTGTCTGCTCCTCAGGGAGTCCCTTTCTGCTCCCTGACCTCATCCGAGTTGTTTCCCTCTGACTCACTCTGTACCCCCACATACTAATTTTTCTTTCAAGAACATATCAGGGGAGGGAGAGAAACACATTTGTAATAATCTGAACAATAAAGATTTATTTAAAAATTAAAAAATAAAATAAATAATTTTTTTTTTTAAAGAGAAAAGAACATATCAGAACTGGCATTACATTGTAGTTTTATGAGTCCCTCCCAGAATAGAGGTTTCAGAATCCCGTTTACAAAATATGTCTAGTGCCACATGGCCTCAGGGTGGGCCAAGGGCTGTTCCTTGGAGCTCTCAGCCAGGATGGGCATTGTGAGGTGACGGGGACAAATTCCTCATCTCCTGTGAAATGGTACCACTGGGCCCCTAGATGAGGAAGCCCAGGGCTTTATGTCAAAGGCACCGGTGTACTGGCTGCAGTGGCCTGTGGGCCAGGAAGTAGCCATAGGACAGGTTGTAGGGTGACAGGAAGCTGTCCCTCTCCTGGACACCCCCTTCCTCCCCACGTGCCATCACCCCATGTGCCAGAGTCCCCGGGTCCCATGGGGCTACAAAACCTCCTTGCAGTCAAGGTCGGGGGCCGGGAGCCCAGAGCAGCTGGGCGAGCCTGGAGAGCTTCAGGAAGCCACCACCACAGCCTCCAGGGTGCCCAGGTGGCTGAGAGGGGGCGGTGTGCACCGCAGGGTAAAGGCCAGGCCCTGGGAAGCTTGGGGGTGATGAGGGGGAGATTCCGTACTGGCAGTAAGTGGCCCAGAATTGGCGAAGGGCCCCTGGGGGAGATGGGCCCCAGGGTTAGGGGTGAGGGGTGGGGCGATCAGGGCTTAACGGCCCTCAGCAGCAGCAGCAGCAGCAGGGCCCCAGCCAGCAAAGTCAGTGAAGGGCCTGCTGAGGGGCCTGCTGACGGCTCAGCAGGCGGCGTCAGGCCGCAGGCGGTGTAGGGCTCCAGGCAGGCGGCGAAGGCCATGACGTGCGCCACCATGCTCTGCTCCTGCACCCCGCGCACCAGGTGCGCCTGCGGGCCACGCGCGAACACCGCCACGTCCTCGCCAGCGTGGGTCTCGCTCCACAGGGGCACGGCCGCCTGCTGCTTGTAGTTGGGGTCATCTGGACAGATAACGGGGAATCAGGTATGGTGGGCACTGCCCCCCCCCCCCCCCCATGGGTTCCCCCTGCCTGCCCACCCACTGGTGCACTCACTGGTCTGGCTTTCATCAACATCTGACCGGGAGCCCCTGCTGATCGCGAAGCCGGGGCCGTTGCCATAAAGGATGGAGGTGTAGGCCTTGCCATCTGTCGCTATCTCAGGAGCCAGCCCTGCAGGGAGGATTGGACATGTGATGTCACCAACACAGCTCTGCAGCGCCCCCTGTGGGCTAGGCCCCAGCACTGCTTGCTTATTCAGTGACAATCCACACAAGACCCTGCAAGGTCTGGCTATTATGACCCCATTTGACAGATGAGCAAACTGAGGCTCACAGCGTTTCCTTCCTCCTAATTGAGGAAGCCGCGCCTGCCACTCCCTCCCTCAAACCTACCGAAAATGGAGCTGCCACGCAGGGGATAGCCTCCGAAAGTGAAGACGTGAGAGTGGTCGGCGGTGACAAGGGTCAGTGTGTCCTTCTCGCTGGTGAGCTGGCTGGCGCTGTGAATGGCGTCATCAAAACTGATGGTCTCGGTCAGTGCGAAGTAGGCTTTCCCCGCATGGTGACCATGGTCAATGCGGCCCCCTGCAGAGAGACCGTGGGTGGGCGGTGGGGAACCCGCCCTGAACCCTGACCTCCCTCTGCTCAGGGAGGGGCCACGCACTCACCCTCCACCAAGAGGTAGAAGCCCCGGGGGTTCCTGCTCAGCAGGCGCAAGGCGGCCTCTGTCATCTCCTTCAGGCTCGGGTCCTGCTTGCTGTCTCGTTGGGCCTCATACTTCATGTCCCCCGGCTCAAACAGGCCTGTGGGGAAGGGCACGGGGTGACGGACACGCTGTGGAGTGAGGTCCGCGCACACATGCGTGTCCAGGGACCCACGGGGGGCGGGGAGGCGGGATGGGCAGGCGGGGAGGAGCAGTCATTACCCATGAGGTGTGTCACGGAGTGGTTCTGGGACGCCTGGAGGAGCGCTGTTCGGTTCCACACGTACTGGGCGCCCTGGCAGGGACAGAAGCGGGCCTCAGCCCACGGCTCTCCCACCAGCAGCCCTGCCCTCGCCCCTGCTGTCCCCTGCACCCACAGCCCCATCACCTCGTGCTTGGCCAGCCACTCCTGAACCAGGTTCCGCATGTCCGCCCTGGTTCCTTGATGTGAGGCGTCACCAGGGTACTCAGGGTCTGGGGTGCCCTTGGGAAACATGTACTTGCGGCCTCCACCCAGGATCACCTGGAGCCAGAGCAGGAGGGCAGGTGAGCTTGGGGCCTGCCTGGCCCTTTGCCCCCTGAACAAGCAATCTCCAGGTCCCCTCCGCCTCCATCGAAGGCCTGGCTTGCCTGAACCTTTACACCACCATCCCATGTGCCCAGAGACACTGCCAGGCCCCAGCCCCAGGCCCCAGGCCCCAGGCCCCAGGCCCCAGCCCCAGCCCCAGCTCCAGCCCCAGCCCCAGCCCCAGCCCCTGCCCCAGCCCCTGCCCCAGCCCCAGCTCCAGGTCCCAGGTCCCAGGCTCCAGCCCCAGGCCCCTGCCCCAGGCCCCAGGGCTCAGGGCTCAGGCTGTGGGTTGCCTGGGACTGTGACCAGCGTGGGACCAACCCCCTCTGCCCCATGACCCACATCAATGTCCACGTTGGAGATGAGCTGAGTGGCAATGTCCTGACAGCCGTCCTTCAGCGCCTGGGCAGGCATGTCTGCGTCCGAGTACCAGTTGCGATTCACCGTGTGCGCGTAGGCGCCGGCTGGCGTGGCGTGCTGCACCCTCGTTGTGGTCACCACCCCCACTGACTTCCCTGAGGGGGAGGGAGGTCCGGTCAGGGTGAGCCCACTGTGCGCTCTGGGCCCCACCCCTGCCCACTAGGCCGGCCCCCAGCCCACCTGCTTTCTTGGCCCGGCTCATCACGGAGATGACCTCGTTGCCACGTGTGGTGTTGCACTGGTTATACCGGGCCGCGGCACTCACACCGATGGTCCGGAAGTTGGTCTTGACACCACACAGGAAGGCTGTAGCCGTGCCTGCACTGTCTGGTACAAGTCTGTCCACGTTGTATGTCTGGGGGGACAGGGACACCCTCAACTCCTCTCTGGGACAGACACCCAGATCATGACCAGGCCCCGGGTCCCTAACTCAGGCCCCACCCCTCCTGGACCTTCCCTCCTACCAGGCTCCCTAGGCCCACCCACCCCTGTGGTGTGGAGCATCCTGAGGCCACCCAGCCCTTACCTTGGCCAGAGCCATGTACGGGAACTTGTCCATGGCCAGGGGGGTCTCAGGTCCCAGCTTGCCACTCATCTGCCCCTTTAGGATCCGAGCTGCTGTCACCGTGGACACCCCCATCCCTGAAGGAGAGAAACCCTGTGAGGTCTGTGTCCGCAGGCAGCCCAGGTACCGGGACTGAGGCTCTGGGAACGGACGTGCCGTGCACACTCACCGTCCCCCAGGAAGAGAATGAGGTTCTTGGCGGCGCTTTGCATGGGCTGCAGCTTCTTGGCGGCGTCCAGGGCCTGGGCTGCCTGGCGGTTCCAGAAGGCTGGGTCTTCCTCCTCAGCTGGCCGAGGGGAGAGGGCGGTCAGGTCTGCCTTGGGGGAGCGCCCCATGTGTGGGCCCGCTGGGAGGGGCCCCTTACCAGGAACGGCTCCGTGGGACCGCTGCATCCCCAGGCCCAGGAGCAGCAGCAGCAGCTGCAGCACGTCGGCTTCCTGCATGCCTGCGGGATGGTGGGCCAGCGAAGGAGCTGGGACTGCAGAGAGGCCGGGACCTGGTGAGGCAGGAACCTGGAGAAGACTGAGCCACCAGGGCAGGAGCAGCAAGGCAAGCTCTTGGGGCTTAATCAGGGGAGGCCTCCATCCCTGGTTTATAAAGGCTTCAGGTCCCTCCCAGTGCCCCAGGCAGCCACCCTGAGACAGCCCCTCCCGTTGGTAGGGTGTAACAGCCTTGGGGCAGGGGGTCCTGCAAAAGGTGTCTCCCCAGGGTAGGGTGGGGCTAAGAGGTAGGTGCCCTCTGGGTGAGGAGCATTTTAGGGGTCCTGATTGGGCTCCCCCTAACCTCTGCTCCTGCAGTCCTGGGCACCCGTCACTCCTTTGTTCACCTCATCTGTTCCGTATTTCCTTAAGCAAGTCGGGCCCAGGCTTGGTTCTGAGTGCTGAGGGAGGTGGGGTGCAAGCACAGGGCTTGCACGGGTCCTGGTTTGGCTTCCTGATGTCATCCTGCCACCCAGGTGGCCTTTCACCAGGCTTGGCCTGGGCAGGTGAACAGGCACTGGTCTACTGGGTGCGTCCAAGATCTGGGGCCCAGTCTTGTTCGCTGGAAAAGGGTGGCTGGTGGTGACAGCAGTGGGGACCTGGTACGTGTGTCCAATTACCCTGCGCTGGGCCAGCCTTGTGGTGTGTGTGTGAGAGACAGGCCTATGAGCCAGGTAAAGGGGATGGGCAGACTGAGACAGAGAGTTTAAGGTGACCAGATGTCCCGCTTTTGGCGGGACAGTGCTGATTTTTAACAATTTGTCCCACACCCCGCAGCATTTTAAAAAAGTCCCGATTTTTGGAAAGAATGCATGACAAGCTAGGAAATGGCAGGAGAATGGAAAGGGAATAGTATATGGTTTTCGGTGGCCATGTAGCTATTTACCCAGGATATGAGCTTTATATTATTTTTGTTAATTTTATAATGTTAAACTTTTTTTTTAAATAATTGTTGAGAACTGATTATTGGGAACTGCTTATCAAAGTTCGCATTGTTGATCAGTTGTTAGAATTGTGGAATACACGCTGTCCTTACCAGGAACTAATGCTGCGACTGAACGCATTTTTTTCTACGGTAAATAAAGTGTGGAGATCAGAAAAATCACAATTAAGTGTTGAGACTTTGAAAGCCATTTTATGTGTGAAATATAATTTAACCAATTCTTGTGAAAATTTTCATGACCTTTTAAACGACAGCAATCTACCAAAAAAAAAAAAAAATCAAATGAGAAATATGACAAAGAATAAAATACTACACATAATTTTTTATTTATTATATTTGTAAATTGTACTTATGTTGAATTAAAAAAAATATATTATAATACTATTTTTGCGTTCTATGAAAATTTTTGTTGCTCCATATAGACCAAATTTTTAATCAAGAAATGCCCCTCCCCCCCAGAGTCAATGGTGTCCCTCTTTACCACTGTTAAAATCTGGTCACCTTAAGTTAAGCAGCAGTTTGTTGCCATCCAGTAAATCCTATCTTCTCTAAGTGTTTGCACTTCTCCTCCCCAGCCAGAGGGTAAATAGCTTAAACCACCCTATTCAGGAGACGAGTAGCAGAAATCCAATTAGTGTGTTTGCCAACCACACGCTAGGATCCTCTCTGTGAAAGGGATCAATCTCATTTTGGTCCATCGACTAAAATGTTCTCGAATATTCTATTTACATCCTCCCCTAAGCCCTCTCCTAAAGGCGCAGCCTTTACAATCCCCTGGAAACAAAGGTCCGGCCTGGCTAAGGAGCACGCTTGGCCTCCCAGACCTCTTTCTCCAAGGCATGAGTCTCCCAAACGCTCAGGAACCCCAGGAGGCTTACAGCCAGGACAACAGTGGGCCATGGCAGTTCGTCCCAGCAAAATCTCCAAGGCCCCCTTTTCTCTGACTTCTTAGGGAGCCAAAGTAGCCCAGCCTAGGCTCATTTCCCTAGCCCTGTGGTCGGCAAACTGCGGCTCTCGAGCCACATGAGGCTCTTCGGCCCCTTGAGTGTGGCTCTCTCACAAAATACCACGGCCTGGGCGAGCCTATTTTGAAGAAGTGGTGTTAGAAGAAGTTTAAGTTTTAAAAATTAGGCTCTCCAAAGCAATTTCAATCATTGTAACTGTTGATATTTGGCTCTGTTGACTAATGAGTTTGCCGACCACTGCCCTAGCCCTTCCTTGTTTCATTGTTCCCAGCTTTAATAAACGTCCTCTAAAATTCACCTGGTCTTGTGTTGCGAATTTTTCTTGCATGGATTTAAGAACCCACACACTGCCTGTCGCCGTAGGCAGACCTGCTTGGGCCAGGCACCCTGTCGGGTAAGAGGTGTGCCTTCAGAGGGCAGGGGGTGGGGCCGTGCCCGGTGCATGCTGTTTGCCCCGTTGGACTGGGGCTTGGGCACAGGCATGAGTCTGCTCTCCTCTGATCACGAGGGTTCAGAAGCATTCCTCCCACCCAACAAGCCTACCTTTGGGATGAACCCAAAAGGACCGAAAGCAGGCTCTTCAAGACATCATTGCACCCCCATATTCATAACAGCACTATCCATAATAGCCAAAGGTGTGCTGGGGCCCAGGACAGGCCGCCCCGTGATATTCCATGGTGACCTAGTGACTGTTTCCAACTGCAGTCACCTGGGAGGCAGCAGGAGCAGGATGAGGCCTGACTCTCCTCTGTGTCCCTGAAAGCAGGAGGCAACATCCCAAGGGCTGACACAACCTTATCACAGCTGGGAATCCGGAAGGAGAGGGCTGCCAACAAGCCTGTCCCGCCCAGCCCAAGCCCTGCTTACATTCTTTTCACTGAGCGGTGACTTTCTCCGTGTTTGTACAAAATGTGTTTGTACAAAAACATAGAAAGGTACCTGGTTCGAACATTTCTTGAGCCTCATTTTCTGACCTGAGCATCACACTGTGGTTCTCCGGCACATGTTTTAAACTGGTTTTTCTCCGTGAGGACTTATCGGAGCCTAAATATCCTTATTTGTGTCCCAATATTTGGGTTTTTGCAGGGTGAACTCCAAGGCTGTTTAAAGAGCACGACTCTGCTCCCAGGCCCACAGAGCTGTGACAGACAGACACGAGCAGAGTCAGTGTGATGGGCCAGGTGCAGAAGGTCACCAGGGCAGAAAGCTACAGGCGCCCAGCAGCGGATAGCTGTAGGGTGTGACCTCACCACCAGCGTGGCCTTTCCTCCCCTAGCATATCCATGGTCATGTGGTTTCAACTTCTTGACCTTTTCTCCCTAGAGATAACATTTACCCTCATGTTTTACTTCAGCTATGGGTCCAAAAAAGCAACCCCATGGCTGACCTCAGGACCAGCTGCATTGAATAATGGCCCCCTGTGCTGGCCAATCAATTAGTGGAGGCCACAACTCCAAAAGGACACACCTGGAAAAGAGCTGAATATTCTATTAAGATCTTCCTCTGAGACCTCCCTTAAAATCTCCACCCTTAAAACCTTTAGGATGGAGGACCCAGTGCCTCTCCTTTTCCTACCCCCACCCCCACCCTTAAGCATGTTACCATTACCTTCTCACTCCCAAGCTCCTAGGGCCCTTCCTAACTCAATTCCTCAGTCCATTTCTTAATTTTATAAAGAAATGTTCTCTTATAGTTTAAGTCTTGGCTCTGAATTCTTTCCTAGCTAGAACTCAAGTACTAGGTTGCTGAATCCAGGTCCAGTCTGACCCTACCGCTTAGACACCTGGTGCCGTTCCTGACGCCTACAACCGAATGCTCTCTTTGTGCTGTCTGATTTCTGTTGATAAATAAACTAGAGGCCTGGTGCACGAAATTATACACTGGGGGGAGGGCCTCTCTCTTGTAGTCAGGGACCCCTCTCTCCTTCTGCCAGCCTGCCTGCTGCTCCCTAGTGCTGCCACTGAGGCTCCCGCCACCACCACTGAGCTCACCAGCCATGAGCCCAGCTTCTGGCTGAGCGGTGCTCCCCCTGTGGGAGCACACTGATCACCAGGGGGGAGCTCCTGCATTGAGCATCTGCCCCCTGGTGGTTAGTGCTCATCAGAGGGACTGGTCGTTTTGGTCATTCTGCTGTAACAGTCACTTAGGCTTTTATTATATAGATAACCCAGAACTTGTGCTCTATGGATTGAACCCAAACTAGGACCTGACAAATGCCTCATCATGTTACCCACTGTTCTTGCATCACAGCCCTACTTTCGATCCCTGAGTCAGCAGATTCTTGGGTTTTGCAGTTGCTTCCACCTCTCAGAGAACCAGTGATGGAAGTTTGTGGTCTTCCCCACAGCCACTCCCCTCTTTGATCAGCAGCCCCTGCGCTTTGCCTTTGGAAAGCCTTGCTTTGTCCCCTCCACATTGGACATGTCTCTGGTTCACACCAAGGCCGTCCCTGATTTGCAAATCATATCTGAATAAAGCACTCTTTTAATTCATCTTGGAATTTTTGTTAACATTCTGTTAATCTAGTCTTGTAACAATTTTTATTATTTTATTTCTAGTCCAGTATTAAGAACTAAAGGGTAGAAGGGGGAGAATTATCCCCTCTCCAACAGGTACAAGCAATTCACATGTCCGTCAACAGATGAATGAATAAATAAAATGTGATGTCCATACTGTGGATGAAAATGGGGTTCTATGGAAAGTAACCTCACAGAGAGATCTGACCATAAATTCCTAACTGGGCAGGTCATGCTGAGTAGGCATGTCCCAGGCCTATAACTTCTTCAGCGGAAGGTTTGTCCTTTGCTCTTGTGCATCCAGGTTAACACACCTTTGAAATATCAGAAGTAATATCCCTCAAAGGGGTATTAACCCTTGAGAGAACACATAATCTTTTTCTCTTTAAAAAAAAGTGTTTTTATTGATTTCAGAGAAGAAAGGAGAGGGAGAGAGAAACATCAGTGATGATAGAGAATCATTGATCAGCTGCCTCCTGCATGCCCCCTACTGAAGATTAAGACCACAACCTGGGCATGTACCCTTGACTGGAATCAAACCTGGGACCCTTTAGTCCACAGGCTGATGTATCCACTGACCAAACCGGCTAGGGCCCTTTTAATTTTATTGTTGGAAATATTTCAT